AAAAAAAAAAAAAAAAAAAAAAAAAAAAAAAAAAAAGACACTATGTCTATTGACCCTGTAGCTGCATTCCTGAAATCAGAAAAAAAAAACATTATGGTGGGGGACAACAGAAAAAGTTAGTGGAAATTAATAGGAAGTTAAATTCAAGGGAACCTCTAAGGCTTCTTTGCAATCGCAGTACAGACATCTGTGCGAGTCTGTTTTTCAACACTCCTGAGGCCTTTCACCCTCAGTTTAACAAATTAATTTCAGTGTAGAGACCTCCAGCTTATTTAATTTCTTCATAACAGTATTTCCCCCCCAGTCTCTCACCTTACTTTCTGCTCATAATAATGGAATACTTTACTTATTTAAGCTCAAGTTAATTCTAACTTTGTAGTCCACTGGCCAGGTTGACAAAAAAAGTTTCTTACCAGTGTTTGACAGTCAAGTAAGATATCATTTTTTTTTTTTCAACATGAAGTGTTTAAAGTTCAGTCTTTTTCTAACAAGAAAATTTAAGTAAAATATTATTTCTAGTGTGACTGAGCTACTAATGGACATGACTATTGTGCCTTTGGTTCTTTTTTAAGTCCCTTGATTCAACACATTTGAATCCAACTTGGTCTTTTATGTTGGTAGAATATAAAAGGAAATATGAAATGTGATTATCATTCTATGATTATGTGATTAAGTGAAATAATTATTATCAAATCAAACCTCCAGAATTTAAATACTATTTATAATAATAATAATAATAATAATAATAATAATAATAATAATAATAATAATGATAATAGTAATAATAATAATAATATGTGTAACTGATATAAAGCCTAGTTCTGCCAGCTTCAGTAGTTCTTTCTCAGTCTCCCATAGGGCCTGAGGCAGTTCTTGGTGCCAACTTCATTATGACAATATACATAAATTTGGTTTTATCTTGATCTTTTACTTTTTTAGCTTGTTTTATTTTCTCAGTCTTAATTCCTAAAAGTGCTTAGATGCATGCCTTTGATTTGGCTTGTTCTGACCAAGTTCCTTATGGAAACTTAATCTGCCATGTTATTGCCAGTGGACAAGAACAATGGTTTTACTGACCTCAATATACCTTGGAAGAGATTGCTGCTGAATGTTTGCTAAACATATATTTACAATGATATGCTGTGAAATTAATGATACTTAAGCAAAAGGACAACTATTCTCCCTTTTAGATACTGGTTCTCCCTTTTAGGTATTGTTTAACCAACTGGGGGTTGCAGTAAGGGACATTTTTCTCCTCTCTCTTCATCCTTCATCATTATAGACTGTTGTAGAAACTCTCTTACTAAAAAACGTTCAGGACCTTTCAGAGAAAACTTGTTCATAATTAATTCTAGTGTTGTTGAGAGCTTCACTTTGGTTACATTCATTCTGTACGGAGCTACTTGAGCTGCGCCAGACTGAGACAATACAGCAGTAAGGGACAATGTGGACAGTCTCAGACCCAGCACCAGACGTGCTCCGTAACCTGCCTTCTCTTTCTCCCACTTTTTCTCTTCCTCGAGTAACAGATTTCTGTAGTCCTTCTCCCTGACTAAGAACCCAGATCTGTTTTTTGATCTTTTTCCTCAATCTGAATTACTAAATTCTAAATTATATCTGAACATTTTGGTCCTGCGTTGTCCCCAGCAGTGGCTAGGAAAAGCTGACAGAGGACATGATACCACCACACTAGGTCTCATCTTAAACATGGTGTCTGCATTAATGACAGAAAAAGACTCAATATTCTTTCCAATATTTGTTGGCATTAACGATTATAATTTTGGAAAAGTCTCTCCACCTGTCCACTATACAGCTTTCCAGCTTGACTTCAGCGATTCCCAGCGGTAATCAATGAGGTTAAGTGCAAACTATGCAACCACGCTCCTTTTTTTCAATCAACTCTGGATTCGCCGTCCTTTAATTCCACCAAACACCTTACTGTTTTGTTGTGGAAAACCAGCAGTCTGCCCATATACTCTGACATCTTTTATTTTCTATTTCTGGCTGACAAGAACTAAATTTTTCTTGTTCCAAGTATATCTACCTTTCCAAGGGCTTCTGGGCATCTCTGCAGTCTGTATCCCATTATCCCTCAATATACTGAACACAGTAGGGCAGCTGCCGAATAGGCGAAACTACTGCTTTTTGCATGCATTACAGTTTTAATCAGGCTCTTCAGTTTTATGCTCAGATACTTCAAAAATCTACCACATATGACTTCTTCCATGATTTACAAAGGAGGCACATATTCTAAGTATAGATAATAATTGCACCATTTAAATGATAATACCAAGATGTTTTGTATGGGGAGGAGATTCATGCAGGGCAATTTTACTATGAACAGCTCTTTCATAGGGCTATCTATCCTCACACCAGATGTCAAATACAAAAAGAAATACTTTGGCATGAATAACAAAGTTCATTTGACTGAAGGATTTACCTCCTAGGAACAAGAGTCTCATAAAACATAAACATTGGGAGCAAAGTGAGCCACGTAAGGGCTTTTGCAAAAATTAAACCCATAACTTGCCACTAGAAATGGGATATTTCATCTGTTCAATAAGCACTAAAGTTCTCTTTGTTTTTATGGCATCGTAATCTTTGATTACTCTGATAAATATTTGGACTATACAAAACATTGCAATGGAACTAATCGCAGTTATAAAAAAACCTATGTGTGAAAACGAATTGGGAATGCAATGATACCAGCACAATTTAGAGAAGTTCAAATACAGAACCACATTATTTTAACTGGCTCCTAGCCTCCTTCTTTTATGCCTCCACGTAGTCATTTACACCTGAATAAAATGGTTATGGAAGCTGTTACGCTTGCTGGCTTTGCATAAGCATGATTAGGTAACGGTACCAGACATGGAATACCAGGCTCTCTCTGTGTGACTGGGAGAACCCAAACCACACAACTGAATAGTAGCAAATTTTAGCAAAAAGAAGTGGCCCTGCGATGAGGATGAGGTCTCTCTATGCTGAAGCCTATTTGTGGAATTCATGCTCTCACTCACAACAACTGCGTATAAAACAGCCTCTGTCCCTGGAGAGAGATCTTTCCTTCCCCTTCCCTCCAACTCACCCACTATTTCCCTTTGTTTTGGTTTTACTACTCAGATAACAGACTGGAACATTGTACTGCTGGCAGATTATGTGCGTAATCTTACTCCATCCTTTGTTTAAAATTACAACTCTCTCCATACTTATTACAGTACTCTGAACGATTGTAAGGTTGCAGAAAGGCTCTAGGCATGTCTGTACTGTTTCACAGTGTAAAGACTATTCACTGCTATTTATTCTTTTACAGTAGGAGAGGGAATCCCTCTGTCATTCAGAGCAGCACGCACAACTCAGATGCCAGGGGCCTATATTCTGCTCACAGAGAAGGTCTGTAGTCAATAAAAGCAAGGAGAGCTTTCCAGTACCTAGAACTCGTTTTTATAATTAAATGCAAGGAAGAAGATCAGCCTTCTTTGGGGCTAGGAAAAAACAACATGATTACTTCCAAAAGCAAAAAACTTTTTCTCTACCTCATCGTATTCTGAGCAGATGCATTGATGTAAATAAAGTTCAAGTGCAAATCATGTCAGATAAGAAAGTAATTCCAGTGGTGAAAGTCACACGTAGTATAGCACCAGCAACATTTATGAAGTGGTAACAAGAATATATTTGAATCAATGGGCTGGATATTTATATCACTAATGCGATAGTGTCACGTACTGTCAAATATTTTTAACCAATTACTCCTAACAGCTGAAGTCTGCATTTGGTTCCAGCAGACTGAACCCAGGATAACTGAACCAAAGCCAACGGAGATACTTCAGATGTCACCAACTGGAACAAAGAACGCGTATTTGCACTTAGCATTTAAATAGTCCTTTTCATCTTCAAAGAGCATCACAAACATTAGCTAGTTCTAATTCTCTCACAATGACCTTCATGTTAACCTTTTGGGATAAAAGTAATATACTATAAGAAAAAAACCTGACAAGACATGTAATCAAGCATACACCAGGACTCAGATGTGTAAACTATCTCTGCCTCATGGTAGATTTTATCTCATCGAGAATATAAGGCCTTTCACCATGGCTCAGGTATTAATTCACCATACAATGTATTTTACTAACATAAAACGGTGGTAATAATCCTGAAATAACAGATTTACTATCATAGCTGGGAGATACAGCTCTTCCTTTGTAACAGATAAGGAACTCAAAATAATACTGCAGAAAAATATCTGCTGGAAACTGTCACAGGACAAGCCAGGGACACATCTAGGTTAGATGTTGGGTTTCCATGGTTTTGCATTCCTACTCTTCAGTCATTCTGGGATTTTTTTTTTCTTTTTTTTAGTCTTTCCAATTCAAATCGGGAATTTTGTGTCTTTTAGAAAGCTTTCTGTGACACAGCAGAAGCTTCCTTTACATATCAGTTCTCTCTGCCCTCCAACCCAGACTTGCGATTTGATTATCAATTCTGGGTGGCTCGAAGCCCAGAATCTTGAATAAGTTCCTCCTGTTCCAGTTGCTTGTGTACTTTATACAGAGGAATAGATTGAAGCAGACAGTACTCATTTTCATGGTGACCCAGAACTGCTATTGTTACAAGAACACCTCTAATCTCCTGTTTCTGTTTTTGAATTGAATTCAAGTGAGGAGAGATGAAAGAAAGCATCTCACAGTTCTGCTTCTACAGCTGGTACTTCTTAGTTTATCATGTGCTAGGTTTAATTCTTTTCGATTCTTCTTAAAATTATTGCTTCTATTTCTTAATTTGACAACCAGGCATTTGTTGCTATTTTTTTTTTTTTTACTATGAAAACCCCCTCCCCTACCTCTTTCTTGTAGCTTCTTCCTCAAGAAGAAACCCCCAAACTTACCCCATTATGAAATCAATGTATGAATTGAACTTCTCCCTTGGTAGGTTGTCTTATGCAGCAGACAAATGAGCAGCTAAATAATATTTCATTACTTACAGTTCAGGGAAAGACTTACAAAATAAACTGAAGAGTGAAAGAAGGATAAGGGTCATGCTGATATGAAGGGCATCAGTCGCACTGCAGTCCATTTTGGATTTCTTGCAGGAACACACTTGTAATTTCAGTTCTGTGGTGTTAGTCAGAGGCGGTTTTCCAGAATCTGTCACTGAGATTGGGATGTTGTAATTGGCCTTTTTCAGGTTTTGAAGCAGGACGACCTGGGCATGAGTATCTGCAAAGGATAAGGTGAGAATTAGCCAAATAGTGATTGCCTGGAAGGGAAGAAGAATCTGCAAACAATATCAGACCTATCACAGTTACTCGTGGAGGAAAAAAAAAAAAAGAGAACATTCTAAGGAAATGATGAAAGAATTGAACTGGAGGTAAGAAGAGGCAGTACAGAAATTCCCTTATGGGCTGGGAGCTAATTGCAAACTTATTCCAAGCCCCACCAAAAGACTTAATTTTAAGAGCCCCTTTTGTTTAAATACATAATTTGGTCTGCGAATTATTGAAGGAATTTGTCTGTGGAAACTAATATACTAAAGAAATGCTAAGGCATGTCATCCCCAAAGCAACACAAGAGAGTAAATATATTTGTCAAAGAATAAAAGCCCTTCTTGCAAGGAAGTACAGACAAAGCTCTTTAAATGCTTCCCCGGTGTGACTGAGAAGGCAGTGAGGGGATGTAATGCCCCTTCGGATCCACAGATCTGCCCCACGTGAGCAGCAGTGGGTCATACAGCTATCGGTGCCCGGGTGAGGGTGCTCACTCTGCTAGGGCGTTTAACAGAGCAGTGGTTTGATGTTTGGAGAACAGCAAAGAAAATGACTCCTCGACTTTGTTCTGCAGGCAGGTACAGACATCACGTCTGTCTTTAGTTTTTTTCTAAGAAGAATGTGAAATGAACTGCTAAAAGATTTTTTTTTTTTTGAGACAGGAGGTAAATAATACATGCTAGAAAACAAATGGAAGTAATCTACATTAAAAAAGAAACGTAGTACTTTGTGCCCACAATTTGCCATGTGAACCTTCTGCATTTGCGTGGTATGTGCTTTGATCCTCCTAACAATAGTGTATGGACCCAGTGCATTTGGGTATTTTAATTGTGAAGATTCAAATACTTAAATTCAGGAAGTTTTTCAAGTACATTGCTAAAGCCCACGCAAAAATTTCATGCTGTCCCAAAGCAAAGCCTTGTGCATCTCATGCACGTAAATTCCGTGTCATAAATCATGATAATCTTTAAAAAACTATAAGTCATTAGTAGCCTTTCTTTAATGCAAAGAGAAAGTTTGGTCAACATAATAAGAGGAAAAAAGTTCAGATTTCAGAGAAAATGCAGACAGACTATTAGTATGTTCCACCAGGCAGCTGGTCCAAACAAAACCAGCAGGGTGTAAAGCAGCAGCGATGGGTCTGTCCTGCAAGACTCATGCACAACTGCTCTGGAATTCACATAATGGGCAGCCTCAGGGTGAGTGCACTGGGATGGAGGGGTGGGAGGACTAAATGCAGAAGAAAAAAATGTAACAGACTTACTGTTAAGCTTGGTGATTCTCCACAATTTTTCTGGGCCAGGTTGCTTACTCAGTTCAAATTTGAAGGGATCTGTATTGGGATGAAGGTCTTTGTCTGATGCTCCTAGTACCACTACCCTGAGATCTTTTGCATCATCACAAACTTTGGCCAGTGTTGGATAAAGGGAAGGGACATTGTCATTGACATCCTCCAAAGTGATGTGTAAAGTTCCTGTACCTGTAGCAGGAGGGTTACCTATATGAAAAAAACAAACATATCATTATTAGATCACAAATCCATAAACACTTGCTCTTGTTTGTACCTGCATGCTTGAAAAGGGAAAGAATTTTTATAGTTCTTATCTCTGTTATGTGAAAATTATTGCTTTCAAAAACTGAAGAGTCATTATTTAAATTTGTTGCTGTGTTTTCAGAACGCAGGCTGTCTGATTCTCTACAGCATGGGTAATTATTCTAAGGAAACTTCGGGGAGAAGAATATTTTGAAGTTAAAATGAGATTAGGAGATGGAAAAGAAGCTCTTCTTAGAATCACAGAATGGTTTGGGTTGGAAGGGGCCTTAAAGATCATCTAGTCCCAGCCCCCCTGCCATGGGCAGGGACACCTTCCACAGTCCAGGTTGCCCAAAGCCCCGCCCAACCTGGCCTTGAACCCTGCCAGGGAGGGGGCAGCCACAGCTTCTCTGGGCAGCCTCTGCCAGGGTCTCACCACCCTCACAGGGAAGAATTTCTTCCTTGTATCTAATCTGAATCTCCCCTCTTTTAGTTTAAGTTTTAGCAGGTCCGTGTCCTTCTGCTGTTGGTGCCCCAGAGCTGGACCCAGCCCTGTAGGGGGGTCTCATGAGAGCAGAGTAGAGGGGCAGAATCCCCCCCTCGCCCTGCTGCCCACCCTGCTCTGGGTGCAGCCCAGGACACGGTTGGCTTTCTGGGCTGTAAGCGCCCACTGCTGGCTCACAGTCAGTTCTTCCATCCACTAATACCCCCGGGGTCCTTCTCCACAGCTCTCAATCCACTCCTCACCCAGCCTGTATTTCTGCTGGGGATTGCCCCAGCCCGTGTGCAGGACCTTGCCCTTGGCCCTGCTGAACTCCATGAGGTTCACATGTGCCACCTCTCCAGCCTGTCCAGGTCCCTCTGTACGGCCCATCCCTTCCCTCCAGCGTGTCGGTCCCACCACACGGCTCAGTGTCACTGACAAACTTGCTGAGGGTGCCTCGATCCGTCTGTCCATGTCGCCACCAAAGATGTTAAACAGTGCCGGTTCCAACATGACCCCTGAGGACGCCACTCGTCACCGCTCTCCACTGGGACATCGAGCTGCTGAGCACAACTCTGAGTGCGACCAGCCAGCCAGTTCCTTATCTGTTGAGTGATCCTTCTGTCAAACCCATGTCTCTCCAATTGAGGCAGCTAGATCATGCAGGACAGTGTCAAATGCTTTGTAGGAGTCCAGGTTGATGATGTCAGTTGCTCTTCTCTTATCCATCGACTCTGTAACATCATCGTGGAAGGTGACCAAATTTGTCAGTTACAATTTGCCCTTAGTGAAGCCATGTCGGCTGTCACCAATCACCTCCTTATTTTCCCTGTGCCCCAGCACAGTTTCCAGGAGGATCTGCTCCAGGATCTTGCCGGGCACAGAGGTGAGACTGACTGGCCTGTAGTTCCCCAGGTCTTCCTTTTTGTCTCTTTTTAAAAATGGGGGTTGTTCCCTCTTTTCCAGTCAGTGGGAACTTCACCAAATTACCTTGACTTTTCAAATATGATGGACTGTGTGTCAGCCACTTCATCCTCCAGTTCACTCAGGACTCCTGGATGCATCTCATCAGGTCCCATGGACTTGTGCACCTTCGGGTTCCTTAGATAGTCTCAAACCTGATCTTCTCCTACAGTGGGCAGTTCTTCATTCTCCCAGTCCCTGCCTTTGCTTTCTGAGTCAGGTGGTATGTCTGGCTGGAGCCTTTGCTGGTGAAAACTGAGGCCAAAGACAGTGAGTACCTCAGCCTTCTCCATGTCCCAGGTAACCAGGGCTCCTGTTCCCTCCTGGAGAGGACCCACATTTTCCCCGGTCTTCCTTTTAGCATCAATGTTCCCATAGAAGCTTTTCTTGTTGCCCTTGATGTCCCCGGCCAGATTTAATTCTATCAGGGCTTTGACCTTCCTAACCTGGTCCCTGGCTGCTCAGACAGTTTCTCTGCACTCCTCCCAGGTTACCTGTCCTTGCTCTGCCCTCTCTACACTTCCTCTTTATGTTTGAGCTTGTCCAGGAGCTCCTTGTTCACCCATGCAGCCTCCTGGTGTTCTTACCTGACTTCCTCTTTGTCGGGATGCATCGCTCCTGAGCTTGGAGGAGGTGATCCTTGAATATCAACCCGCTTTCTTGGGCCCTTCTTCCCTCCAGGGCTTTATCCCATGCTGCTCTGCCAAGCAGATCCCTGAAGAGGCCAAAGTCTGCTTGCCTGAAGCCCAGGGTGGTGAGCTCACTGTGTGCTTTCCTCACTACCTAAGGATCTTGAACTCCACCGTTTATGGTCACTGCAGTCCAGGCTGCTCCCAAGCTTCACATTCCCCACCAGCCCCTCCTTGTTGGTGAGAACAAGGTCCAGCACGGCACCTCTCCTCGGTGGCTCCTCTAGCACTTGGAGAAGGAAGTTACCATCAACACATTCCAGGAACCTCCTGGATTGCTTATGTGCTACAGGGTTGTCCCTCCAACTCGTATCAGAGTGGTTGAAGCCCCCCATGAGGACCAGGGATTGTGAACGTGAGGCTGCTCCCATCTGTCTGTAAAGGGCCTCATCTGCTCAGTCTTCCTGGTCGGGTGGCCTGTAGCAGACCCCACTATAACATTATAACATTCCCTGTCTCTGCCTTCCCTTTAATCCTGACCCATCAGCTCTCGGTCAGCTCCTCATCCATCCCCGGGAGGAGCTCCCTGCACTCCAGCTGGTCACTGACACGGAGGGTAACACCCCCTCCTCATCTCCCGTGTCTGTCCTTCCTAAAGAGTCTGTGTCCTTCAATTCCAACACTCCAGTCACAGGAGTCACGAACACACACTGAGAAACGTAGTAGGAAACATCCCCTAGATAGTCAGCACGGTATTAAAAGAATTGAGAACAGGACGAGGAGAAATGACAGCAGAGAGGAATCAATTTGTATGGTGGGTGCCCACAAACAGAACAGGACCAGGTCATTCCCCGACAACCCTTAGGGCCCCTTTTAGTTATGTCAGCAGAAGTGAAACCTGTCAACACGCAACTCTGGAAAATGAGATCTTTTATTTACCCCGAGCCACGCTGTGTTAGCAGTGGAGTTTCAAGCTTTCTCAAATTATTTGCCAGCCTGCCTCAGCCCTGACCTGAAAGAACCGGCTTCAGAGGTGAGGATGATGTTTATTCACCATGGTGTGGCTACAAGCCTTTGTGCCAAGGCTGTGACTGACAAACCAGCCGTGGCTCTGGAAGTGTTTGTAACGGAGATGTCTGCCTGCTGGGAGTCGGACTGAGACCAGCACCTCATTTCACGGAGGTCAGAGAGGAGCTGACAAGTGGTAATAACTTTCAGTCACTACAGACATGTGCCGTGGTTGAGCCAGTAACCCACTGCTTTCAGTCTAAAGCTCAATAACTTATTACAGATCCTTTTGCCATCCCATTTTAACTGACGTCAAATTTTTCCAAATGTACATTCCTTCCTTCATCATATACTGTACTTATTAATTTCTCCTGTGTAATGCTGCACTTCTGGGTTGTGTTACTCGTTTTTCTCATTTTAGTACACAACATCTATGATCTCTCCACTTCCCTTAGCTATAAACCCTTAGCAGGTAGAAAGAATTCGAGGTTGCACTTAACCTGTAAAGCACTAGTGCAATGTGTCACGGTAGTTTTAAGTTTAGCACTGAAAGAGGTACGCTTTAGCATAATTACCCTGCCTATAGCAGCCCCATCAACTGTGGAATTATTGCTGCACTGTGAGTGCATCCTAAGGGAGAAGTAAATACCCTGTGGTCTGGATCTGATAAACTACTAACTGTAGCAGAATGCAATTAGTCCTTTCAATAACAAATGTTACTAACGGTGACACTTCAGCCATTTCATGCACACATAAATGCATAACAAAGGCAAAATTTTCATAGTTCTTTAGCTTTCACCCCCTCCTCATCTTGCACTTTGTCATCAGAAGGGTTAGGGTTGAGTTCTTTTTAATGAAAAAGAAATTATTTTTCACTTTTTATTGGACTAATTGAATTTGCAGAAAGACTCCAATACATTTTTTGTTCTTGATATATTATTAAGTAAAGTCATACAGCAGAATGGATGAAAAGACATTCAAGTATTTGAAATATGATCATAAAAGCCAGCCTTTCATGCACTTAATTAAACTGCTGTCTTTAATTTTGAATGCATTATTTCCACACTGGACTGATAATGTCTTATGCACTGCCCTTCTTATCTTTCTCTGAAGTCAGTAATATTAAAATCTGCCTTTTGAAATTAAGAAGCCAACAGCATTATGAATGTACTGTTATTTTGTCAAATGCGGATGTGGCTGCATTTTCTCTGCCAAGTAAATGTTTCACTCTCTTTGTATGGCTTTATGGGCCAGTCAACTATTACTCACAAATAGAGAGAAAGGAAATTGCTTCTGTCCATTTCAATGACTTATTCTGTGGTTGGTTTATTTATAATGATTTAAACAAAATCTGTTGGTGATTTATGAAGACCTCCAAAAGAAAAATAGGCAAATGTCAAGGTCATAAACTGAAGCTTGTTAACACGCATGTCATAAAAAATACAACAAAAAATGAATCAAGGAAAAATGGTCACAACATATCCACTGGGAATATATGACTTTCATAAGTTTGACAGTATTATGCCTTTGAAATAATTCAAAATTCCCATGATCTCCAGACAGCTTCGGTTTTAAAATGAAAGATTTCTGTAGCATATTTTAATTCTGAAGTAAAACTTCTCTTAATTTGTATTGTAAAACCTTGCAGCTGAAAGGAGAATTAATACGTAAACCAAGACATAAAGAGTTCTGTCCAACAACCATTGGGAGCAGCTTTTCAAAAGAGCTCCGCTCCCAGTTTTGTCACCGAACTGAATTGGCCATTCTTCCTGAGGCTGAACACTTTAAACATTTAGGTGCCTTTAGAGCTATTTGAGATAGAGATAATTTCAAATTCCTGCTAAGTCTCCCACAAGCGGCATAGCTGTGAATATGCATAT